GTCACGTCAATAACCGTGAATTATTCATTATAACGCATCACATTTGTGTAGGTAAAATTAATAGCATATAATAGCATATCGCGCACATAAATACATAGAAATAAATAACACTTAATTTTAATTATTTTATCAATATTCAGCAACAAAACTAGTTTTACTAGTTTTAAAATGAAGAGGATGGTGTCTAAATTTATTTAATATATTTAATCGTGATAATTTAACGATCAACTATAAACCATTAAATGATTATTAATCGTCGTTATTTTTAATGATTCCATACCTCTCGCTGCATATGAAATAGACTCTGGGTTAAAAAGAAACTGAATCAGACGCAGGTGTCCTGTTTGTATTTACGTTTGCAACGAGTTTCGCGAATTTAAGCTAGCTTATCAAATTCTGATGTTGGTGTCCAAATGGACCCGTCTTTTCTTTTGACTTTATTCGCTAGTTGTATTTTCGTTCCTACATTTTGTCCCGGGAAAAGCAACATTTCATTTCATGTGTAGAAACAGTTTCGAAAGTCTTTTCCACATTTCATTATTTATGTCATTTGCGATCAATAATTCAGGATTTTCTGCTGTTATTCAGACATCCTAAGTCATGCACAGCGAACATGCATCCCAAACATTTAATGCATTGTAGCTATTCCAAGACAGGACCTTCTGTCATATTTACAATATTTTTTGTCATTCATTTTTTCCGGACAGATTCAGTCTTGCCTTCGCTCGCATTTTATCACATTTATCTTAAACGCATATTCGTAAATTAAACACCATTTTCCTACAAGTGCTCCCTTTCCTATCACAACCTTGGTATATGTAATCAGTTCGATTTTCAGACAAATCACAACCAAATTTATACCTGCAACTATCCCTTGATAATTCACGTAGGCCTACTTATATCTCAATTATTTCATTACATCATGTATTTATTTATAGGATAATTACCTCAAAAATAAGTTTGAAACGGAATAAAATAAAATAAACCAAATAGGGTCCACAGGTTCTATTTTAACTCCAGCTTGGCCTGTAAGCTAACGCACCCACCATAACCACGTTTTCTATTTATGTTTTAAAAAATCACTATCCAGTAATGGGCCTACTGTCAATAATAGCGTTAGGAAAAAATATCAGAAATAGGACGCCGTTCCAAATTATTTGTTTGTTTAAACTGTTTACATATATAGGCCTGCACAGAGTGAATAACTGTTTTGCGCATTTTTTAAGAAGCAATTATGCGGAACTGGATGTAGATGAAGCAGGATTGCTTTGTTGACACCATACTACCAAACGTCAGCTGACAAGGTGTGGTGTCCATAAGCGATGTCACACGTACGACAGGAGACTTTAAACTGTAGCATAACTCCACTGAAAGAAAACCAAGCGACTGACTAAGGTTGTGGACAAACCTACAATTACACTCTATGCCCAAAACAAAACAACGTAGACAAACTATATGTGGGTTCAGCCGTACTGCGTTTGGCACTGATTGTAGTTAAACGCGCGCCCATTCTCAGAGAAACAATTATCTGCTGCCGGTGCTTAAATCCTGGCCTTTAGAAAGAAATCACCTAAATGTAGGTAACTGAAAACGTGTATAAACTGCGAGGCGGAATTGTCATAAAATTCCCGAAACAGATAGCAACTAAATAATATAGTTGTGCATTATATACAGAATTGCGGAAAATGTGTAATATTTTTCTATATATCCGGGAAAAAATAACATGTTTTTGCGAAATGCACGTGTCAAAGCTTTATTGACCTTTGGAGCCAGTCATATAGCGTCGTGTTTTTATTTGCTTAATGTTTTTGGTCTAAAGAGATTAAGGTAAAATAACCCTTTAATAAAAATAGCAGACAGGCAACGTGGGGTCAGCCCGCTTGTTTTACACCATCGCCCGCGTTTGTGACTAGCACAGGGAAAGTCACATGGTGAAGAATCCTCCGGCCGAAGCGGCTGTGAATTCCGAGGGATGCATCGCTGTCAAATATTTCATTGAAAGACGTCATGGAAAATGTGCGCGCATAACGGTCAGGGCCAATTGGAACGAACTAAACACGAAACGTAAAGACAAAAAGGGAATAATTTAGTTGCGGCCATAAAAGTCCGTCCTCATAACTTTATTACCACTGACCAAATGTATACTTTTGTGGGTTTCTAGGAACAGCTAAAACTGCACACCTTCCTTCCTTTAATAACATTACGAAGGTGTAAATCTGAGTGAAGGCTTGTTTCTGCCATAACACAGATTAAACTAGACGCCGTATTTTATACACCCAACAACTGAAGGAGCTGGGCGGCGTTTTCTGAAATTACCGCAACAAAATTAGTCATGGCGGTTGAATCGAATCAGATCTTCAGCTAGTATCGTGAATAAACCGGAAACAAATTTATGATACTTCTTGTCACAATACTCCTTTGGATAATGATTTGATATGCGTTGACTTGGGAAAATTTTATTTAAATCCAAAAATACTTAAAATAAAGGAACTAGCAATACTCTATAAAGTCAATTTAAAATAAAACTTGTGTGGCAGTACTGTTATTTATTGGTACTCCGCAAATACCGTAATTGGTACTCCGCATATACCGTAAGTTGCCGTGCAGAGTGACCATAAAACGCTACGCTGTTCTGCCAACACCTTTGACAGGGAACATTTACTCGTTAACAACATGCCAGTCTTCTTTTTTCCACTTTACCACGCTGCAGAATTACTCATGTCACTCCGTCGTCTGGACTGTGTTTAAGGATCAATTCGAAGAATACTTTTGTATTCTAGTGCATGTTGGACCAGTAGAGTGCTGAAGGCGGGCGACTGGGAAAGAGAGCTGGATACTTGCCGCTATGGTGTGTAGGAACAAGCCTATGCTTGGAATGAAGTCATCAACGTTAATTAAACGCAGAGGAGAGTAGGCTGGCGCGCGCCTCTCCTCCGTTGCGCAGTGGGTGGTCCGTTCCTCTGATAAATTTGTGGGCCCCCTTCCAACCGGGCGCCCGCTGTACCGGCTGGTTAAAACAATACTACCTATATACACTTCTGTTCTTGGGTTACTAATTCAGAATCTCCATTGCCAAACCTTCAACGTACAAAGTTCATAAAGTAGATTGGTACAATTAGATTTTATTCCCTTTGAGGCAATACATCTTAAATAATAAAATACACTTCGCTGAAAATGTGAAAACGCGCATTTTCAATAAACATACATTGTTAATGCAATTTTAAACTGTTTGCGATCATTTAGGTAACATATAATAAAACAATAGCCGTAATTGATTGCAAAAGAATATATAGGGCTATATTTTCTAATATGATAATAGCCATTCAATAAAACGATTGTTTTGATACCATATTTGTATGAAATTAAAATGTATCGATGTAATTTGATAATAGTGGAACGATCTCATTTACCCTAATTCACAATTTAAGTTTTTTTCTGCTGCTTGAAATTTCGTAACCACTCTTCTGACAACAACCTGAAAATATTGCTTTATTAAATTTATCGTTCTAATCGGTTACCTATAGTTTTCAGATGTAAATTCTCACAACAATGAGCACGTCCCTAAACGAGTTGACCAAAAGGTCTATCCTCAGAGAAGAAACAAAACAGACTAGCTTTGTATCGGGTTTGTTAATCTAGGACTTTGTGTTAATTAATTACGACATTCCATTCTCACCTAATTATAGTAAATAATGGTTTGTTTAATATTTAGCATTAACCTAATGCAGCATAACACAGCTCTGAGCGTGTTGGTTCGTGTTGTGTTTCTCTAAGGTATAAGAGAACGACCTTCCACAGCACCGAATTATAATGCTTAGTTTAAAATGAAAGGGACAAAATGAAATTTTGTAAAGGCTCGCATGAACAAATACGGTAGAGTCGGGATGCTCCTTAATTTGTACTGTAGGCAATTGTTGTTTTTTACGTTTTGTTGTAATACAGGGAAAAAAACTTGCTTAGTCCGAAATAACGTCAAACCAGGAATTAGCGCTAATAAGCGGTTCAGTTCTTCAGATGCAACCTATTGCCTAATTTGACGACTGATGTTACACGTTTGCTCAGTCGACCGGGAGCCTTTAAAAACCACGTCAGTCTTAAACATTTTAATTTTATTATATATTACTGACAAAGAACTTGCCTTAATCAGAGGAATACACTGATGAAAAAAGATCAGCGACGGCGGCGGACTCGTCTTCCAGCGTCCCGGCGCCAGAAGTGAGGGACCAGGCTACTTCACCCTGCTCAGGTTCTTCTGATGGAAAATATATTTCGTTAGCAGATCTTTGAGATTATTGAAAAAATATCCAAACAAACGATCTTGTTTAAAACGTACGTGTTCGGAGTATCAGAAAGGAACATAGGCTGATCTAGCTGGCCTTTTGCTTGATTTTTTTTATTTAAAGAAGGCCAGTGAAATGTTTACATTCTGCTGTATAAACATCCTGTGCATGTTCCTGTCTATCTTTAAAAGAAATCAGAAACGTATTTTTAAATTGAAAGTATTCCCTGTTAAATTGCCGCCTATTGGACTAACATTTCAACACATTTCATGTTTAAAATTCATGTCATTTACATGAAGCGTCTTGGAGTTTTCTCTAGTTGAATAATGATAATTCTCATTTTAGCAACAAATAGCTGTTGCTTGTCCTCGCAAAACTAATTGAAACTGATTTTTGGACTTTACAGTTTCTTTCAGTTTATAACTGACATTGATACGTTAATTGTAATTTTATTTCTGTTACAGTGGCATCAGGCAAATAGAGCACGTTTAATTCTGTTTTTAAATATGCCCTTCAGTTATAGTTTTAACAAGCGTGTATTTTGTAATGTTTTGTTATAACAATTATTATTATTTAGCCTTCGCACACATGCCTTTTCAGGAAAATATCTTTGGGATCCTAAGTTTTTTTAAAGCATTCGTATTAGAAATAAAGGCGGGGAGATGTGCGCGAGCGCGTCCCACCCGGCACTTCTGAGTGGGAGGAGACTGGGCGGATTTCTTCTTGCTGTCAAGAGCCTGCAGGACTCTGATGGCAACAGATAAGTAAAAGGCGATCTTCCTGGGAAGAACGAGAGCAGAGCGACGGAGTTGAAAGCCAGTCCCCATGTTTGCCTTTTAACTCTGGACAGTAACACAGGAATTGATGCTTTTACAAAGAAGGACATCTACGAATACGGTGCAAAACGAAAACTTGATTCGTATTTTCATTTTCATTACACCCGTAATTCTCTCTTATACGGTGACGTTTTGCTAAAAGTACCTCTGCCTTTCTTATTTCGCATTAATTTTCCTTTCCCAGTTTTAACTTGAGATTTCAAAGTGTTCCCGTTGCGCCGAGAACTAATGACGGCAGAAGTCCAGCAACCTTCAGCACAAACTCCCGGACAAAGCAGCCCTATGTCTGCAGCCCCGGAAAAAACGAACGGACAGACTTCACTGATGGAGACTGCGTCTTCCACTACTAAACCCAAGAAGACCAATGCTGGAATCCGTCGCCCGGAGAAACCTCCATACTCCTATATTGCGTTAATAGTTATGGCTATCCAAAGTTCCCCAACCAAACGACTGACGCTCAGCGAGATTTACCAGTTTCTCCAAAGCCGCTTCCCATTTTTCAGAGGTTCATATCAAGGATGGAAGAACTCCGTGCGTCACAATTTGTCCCTTAACGAGTGCTTCATCAAGCTGCCCAAGGGGCTCGGCAGACCGGGAAAAGGCCATTACTGGACGATCGACCCCGCCAGTGAGTTCATGTTTGAGGAGGGATCTTTCCGCAGAAGGCCACGGGGTTTCAGGAGAAAATGCCAGGCACTCAAGCCCATGTACAGCATGATGAACGGCCTTGGATTCAACCATCTACCTGAGTCGTACAATTTCCAGGGGACCGGAGGAGCCCTGTCTTGTCCTCCAAACAGTTTATCTTTAGACAGCGGGATTGGGATGATGAACGGACATTTGGCAGGCAACATGGAAGGGATGGGTTTGGCAGGACACTCTGTGTCGCATTTGTCGGCCAACAGTGGACATTCTTATATGGGGAGCTGTACGGGATCCACAGGGGGCGAGTACACTCACCACGACAACTCTGCGTCGCCGCTGCTTCCCGGCGGTGGAGTTATGGATCCTCACCCGGTCTATTCAAGTACGACTTCCGCTTGGGCTCCTAGCGCTTCTGCGTCCTTGAATAACGGCGCTTCTTATATCAAGCAGCAGCCTCTGTCACCTTGCAACCCGGGAGCGAACCCACTGCAGCCGAGCTTGCCAACGCATTCCCTAGACCAGTCATACCTTCATCAGAATGGTCACAGTACCTCCGACTTGCAAGGTATGCGCTATAAAACACAATGAAATACGTGATTCTGTATGCAACGTCTAAGTTTTAACTATACGCAGTTTCATAGTGTTGAAGGAAGCTTAGACTAACGACAACAAAGTTAAATAGAATACAAAACTACAGTCATTTTAATATAATGTTTAAGTGATGACGTAGGCCTATCTCAGATAATCACAGGATCATTGCGGACACTAATTTTTTTAAAGCTGTTACATAGTATACGATAAATAGGCCTATTTTGTATACGTATTTGTACATACCGCTTGAAACTTAGTCAAAACGTTTCTGAAACCGCAATACATTTGTATTTGCACTGGTTTTCAAATGATCTATCGAGGTATTTTCATTAAATTTGAGAAAATCTGACTCATGAATAATCTTTCAACACGATGACATCCGCAAACAATTCCTGTTAATTTATTTGACTGCTAAATTTTTTAATTAAACGTAAGTTTATATGTGCGTATGTCAGGAACCAATTTGCTGTTGTGAATGCATCCACGACATGTATATCTGTTTCCTGTCCCACGATTTGCCGAGTACCCCAGTAAATAACAGACGCAAAGCTTCACCCAGACTTTGTTTTTCTAATAAATACCTTGAAGGTATTAAAAAAAAAAAAAAAACTTGCGGAAGGCTTCTCCATGGGGAGACGCGTTTATTATGGTGCCAATTCAGTTGTAAGAACAACAATCTGGATCGGCTTTAGCGCGCGAATCCCGCAGTAGTGTGTCCTAAGGGACGCAATCGCGTGTAAAGCAAGCGGCCAATCGCCTGTCAGTTACTGCGGGTTTTGTCTGACGTCGTTACTCCTGCGAACAGCTCAGCTTTAGTCACGCGCAGGTAGCGGCATTATCACGAATAAGACACCGAAATCATTATTCTGATCATTCTAATTAAAATATAACACTGCGTTTTATTCTTGCATTTCACATAAAAGGCAATTAGATAGGTCTAAAATTCGCTACCAACATATCTCTACCAACTAGCGTTGCGCAATTCCATAAAACCTTTTATTCAACCAGGCTAAAACCTGTACATTTTTGTCATAACACACCTTCGCCTTTTTATTGACGTGAGCGTAACAGTAAAATTTAAATTTATTATATTTAGAGTACTACAAATGCAATTATGTAATGTACGGCACAGATTTTTATACGATACCTAATATGACAGTTCAGTTACATATAAAACAAACTGAAAATTATTTAAATCAGATGGAACACTACTATGCAATTATGAAACCGGTACTACGGTTAATGTAGTTTAACTTCTGTTTGAAATATATAGTATTTAAAATATATATATTTTCTCCGTAACAACATGAAAGACAGCTCTTCCTGAGGCAACTTATGCTATTAAAAATGTTGAGCAAAATAAATTTCAAAATATTAAAAATATTTCGTTTTAAATTACCGTTCGTTATTGAGCAATTAAATGCTGTCATTTTGTTTATATTTTTTATCAAATTTAAATAAATAGTTTAATGATGTAGAAATAAAGTGGAGATTGCAATTCACTTACATTAAACTATTTTAACCCGGAAAATGGTGATTTAATCATTAGATTTGTTTTAATTCCATTTACTAATTTTTGAGTTTTGGCCCGAAGCTTTCTTCAGTAATAATTAATGCCTGTGTTGTGTTTTTTTGTATTTTTTTTTTACTTTGTTAGGTATCCCACGATATCATTCTCAGTCGCCTGGCATGTGCGACAGAAAGGACTTCGTTTTCTCTTTCAACGCGATGACATCTTCAGCGATGCATTCGCCGGGCAGCGGGTCATACTATCATCACCAACAAGTCGCGTATCAGGACATCAAGCCCTGCGTGATGTGACGGTCCGCTGGACCGATCTGGCAGTGAATAAGTATCTATCTGTCACTGGTAGGAATTACAATCAGTGTGTACTTTTGCCGTGGTGTAGCAAAGGACTCTGCCCAGTAAAGTGAAGTGGAGCGAACTTCAACTCGCCTCCGAAGGCAAACACACCAAAGTCGGCTACATTGCAAGGAAAAAATTAACAGGACAAAATGTTTAAGGATCGGTACACGAACTACATTTCACGCAAAATAATGGCTTTCTCATGAACCATAAATACTGGTCTCTTCAAATTTACGAAAAACGAAACGAAAGCCTACATTAAAATGAGTAAATATTTGCTATTTAATTTTATGAACCAAATACGTGCCATTCCAAGGTATTGCAGTACAGATGATGATTAGGTGCATTTTAGTCTCCCAAAAAGATTAGGTACTAATTCTGCTGGCGGATGAATACCACTTGAGAACGTTGATTACTTATGAAAAAGACATTATTCTTTGTTATTTGATCTGTTCTATTATAGACAAGAAAAGCTGAATGCGGTGTTACATGATGGATTCGGCTTACTCGATATAGAGAAACTATCCGTTTATAAATACTTTCCCATATGATAAATTATGTCTGGAGGGATATATGGACAATAAGCCATGTTTGACGCATTCAGTGGTTACATATGGACACGATTCTATCAATTCCAGAGAATTATGGCACTTTTTAATTAATACGCAGCGAATTATTTATTCTGCGTAACATTCAATTGTAAAATTATAGCCTTAGTATTAAAATCATACTTTATTGGCAATATTTGCCATGAAGGTTTTGTATTTGATGTAAACGGAAAATGAAGATTATTTGTCACTATTGTCTGTCGTATAGTTCATGTTCCTTTGTGTGTATATATGTATTGACACTCGTATTTTTCTGCACTGCATACATTGTATATGATGTATTGTCTTTCAATGACCATGTTCAAATTCTAGTCTAGTTTGTATATAAACCACATTATTTGTATAAAACTAAACATATTGGCATGCAGTTTGAGGTAAACTGTTAGAAACACCTATAAACAATTGTCTTTTTTTCTTAAAATACATGTTTTCCCTTTCTTGTTTACCTATCACAGGAGATGTTGGGGGCCGGGTGTATCTACTTTTAGCATACAGCTGGGCCTTTAATTCCCGTGCCTCGTCAATAAAATCCACTTCGACGGCGTAAAACTGAAGCTGCCAAAACAGACTTCCATTGAATTTATAGGCCAGTCCATTGAATTTATAGCCCAGTCCCCAGATCTTCAACCGGTTTTCGGTATTTTTTCATAAGCTACATTTATTTATTTATTTATTTATTTATTTATTTTAAACTGTAATTTCCCATATTCTCCAACATATAACGTATAGCGTATTTTAATACTGAGCGACTCCTGTAATTGACCAAAAGCTACGTACCTCTTACGCTAAAGAAGTTTATCTTCATTATAGTCAAAGAGGCCGCCTTCTCAAATTAAGCTTAATTCAGCCAGAGTAGCATCAGAGTGATACTGACCAAAAGTGCGATGTTTTTTTTATCGATTATACGACGAAATATATTACACGTTAGACATTGTTTGAATTGCGCTATGTTGCAATTAACCCGCAACAAATCAACGCCAGCTACGAAAGCGGGAGTAACAGGGAGTAACATTTGTATCAGATTGCGCGCTGCAAGTGGGAGTAGCGCTTGACCCCCGCTGTACCCACTCCTTCCTCTCCCACTGGCATATTTTAACCACAAACTGGTAGTTTTCAAACATGACATCTTGGACGTGATGTTTACTCGATTAAATATATAGATACAGGACGTTCTTTTTTAGTGGACGTAGGACGGCGATGATTTATCATTTTTGATAGCTTTGCAGTTCCCATTTTAATGTTAATTGCTAAGCACCAAGATTGTATCCTGTGATTTACAAACTGCGCTTCAGTCTTATTCTAAAAATCCCGCGTATAACTAAAGGAACAGTTAACTACGACGGAAAAGCAGGTAATCATGTAAATAAACAAATGTAGGCTTACTCCTAAAGTGTTCTTGGATATCTGTTGCAATTTCAGGCAGGTCAGATATAAATTAATCAAATCCATTAAAATTCATTTAAAACTTAATTTTCTAAGAATTTAGAGAATATGTATCATTTACAGTAACTGTAATTGTACTACAGGGTTTAATAGAATTTTGCCTGTGCTTTGTGCTATACAAACCTAGAAACAACTTAAGTGTTACAATTTTAAACTATTTCATTTTCGATTACCGACGGTTAAAATTTAACCGTAACCCCACATTACAAACAAGCAACAAAAACAGAATTTAAGTTATTTTTTAAGAAAATGGTTAGTAATAACATGTCTCACATGGAGGGTGTTTCATAAAGGTTAGGTCCATATCCTCCAGTCGTGCCTAATCCAGTTTATGAAACGTTCTTTAAAAGAGATTTAATTTTTTAAGTTGTAACAATGTAGCATGATCATGTAAATTATTTTCTCTGCAATACAGATCATATGGCCAGCTTATGCACTGAATCAAAATGCATTTTTTACTCCAGCAGCTTTCATAAACTATACATTTGTCAATAACTAGAATTATACAGGGTTAGTAAACAAAACTAAAGAGCCTTTTATTAAAAAAAAAAACTTAATTCTTTAGAAAATAATTTAAAGACATCTTTCTGAATAAGGCTTCTGTTAGCTACAACAATCTCTGGAAACGATTGAAATTGATTTCCACAAAAATGAACAAGCTCTTTATAAATGGGCGTTTGACCTTTTCTACGCAAGTTTTCGTGAATCAGAAGCATTCCCGTTTTGATCTCCCACCAGGCGTCAGTGTTATGCAATGCTGAGTTGGTAGGGACCAGTTGCTGAACTTGGTGAAATTCCCATGTATGCACACAGGGGCTGCGGTGGTGGGGGGGGCTGGAGACCACACATCAGGTCCCGCTTATGACGTTAGACAGAGCATCTTGGCCGAGGCCTGGGGCTGACATTCCTGCTCTCAGCCCACGGTCGTTCACCAAGGCGGATGAGGCCGCTATTAAAAAAAAAAAAAAGCCTGGATCTGTTTAACAAAGCAGACACGCGATTCGCTCATCCATCAGCCGCCTGACAGAACGACAGCCCTCTGCTGGCCCTGCTGCTACAGGTATGCTGGCAGCCGGGGCGGGGAAGGGACTGCCGGCCCAGACCAGGGACATCCCCCCGACCAGCAGCTGACGGTGCTCCTGGGGCGTCTGTCTCCGCTCGCACAGCTAAACAGGACAATAAGCTCATGTAGTCCGTCTTAATGTAACATTTTAATTTAACCGTGTTTAGGCAGCACCTGAATGGACACTGGGGACTGAAATGGACCAAAAAAAAAACTTTAATAAGCAACAGAAGTTCAACCAAACCACAGATTTATTTGCTTAACTGAAATCTTGACAAGAGACATACAAATTGTACCCTTCTATGCAGTTGGGTGCTAATTCAAATTACATGCCCTGCTCATGCCGGCTGTGCTCGTCATTACTCCCCTACCTGTGACAATACACTAGGCACACTGTGTAATGTGTGAGATAACTTCATAGCACTGCTTTTCTCAGAGATTGCCAGGCTAAGCTGTTCCACGGGCTATTTTTTCGGAAAGCAGATGTATATGAGCACTGTCAAAATTCAGATAACAGCTGAGAAGATGGCAGTCTGCCAGCATGATTGTGTATGAAGAACCACAACAATAAACCAGGCTTTAAATTAATACCATCTGATTAAACACCTTCTCCATCGTTCTTTAAATATCTCCCTACCAGTCATCCTAAAGGAGGACGCCGCCCAAGCTCCACCCAAGCTCTGCCCAAGCTGCATCAGCAGCCATCTGTAGCCCCCACTGAATGGCTGTTCATGAGCGTTTTAGTGACCAGTTGGGAGTCTGGCTTTCGGTCACCTTCCCAGTCCTCTGTGGCACCCCAGGTCTTCTCCTGCTTCTCTGACCCCTAGCGAATGCCACTTGCATGTTGTGACCATTGATGGACAGTGCCTGTAGGGCGGTTAGTGCGGCCTGGGCCTTCTCGTGGTCACCATAGTCCAGAAAAGCCCTGCCGTTAGCTCCCTGCCAGATGAGCCTCTGTGGTAGGGCACCCCGTTCCTGCAGACTGCGTTTCAGCTCACTGACACGTAGCCCAGCAGGGACACCACCTAGGTGCAGCGTGTTGACGGCTCTGTCGTCCACGCCGGCGTCGGTACGCCCTCCTCCTGGCCGCACCACCTCCCCCCGCAAATCGGCCCTCCCCAGTGACACATCTTTCCCAGACTTCTGCTCCAGGGCACGCAGCTTCTGAAGGACGGGGATCCTCTCTAACATGTCAGCGTTCAGCTAGTGGAAGAAGGTCAAAGAAATAAAACAAAAGTCGTGTCAAATGTGCATTCACTGCTTTTTAAAGCCTCCTTCAAGACATTCCCACAGACCGAGCAGCAGAAAACAACACAGGTCATTTCTGGCATTAATTACGAACTGAATGCTAATAAGTCATTCACATAGTTTACACACAACAGGAAATACTCCACTGTATTTGTGGGCCTTGATGGTTCTTTACTGATTCATCTCTATCTATAAAACACACATTATCCCCCATCCAACAGAAAAAAAAGTTCCAGTGAAGAGGTGAAGCTGTTAAAGTGAGAAGAACAGTAGGATCAAGAAGTAAAGACAAACTCTGATTACAGAGACATTTGCACAGGATATACGAGTCTATTGTTTTTATTTTGCCCTTCTGACCACCCTTTTCCATGAGACACGCCACGCTCACCCGGGTGAACACGCTTGAACATTACTCATCCCCTTCCTGCCCAATCATCTAAAGGTCTCCGAGGCTTTTCAGTGCTCAGCCCCAGAGCACAGTGAATATTCTAGATCAGTGTTTCTCAATCCAGTCCCCAAGGACCCATAGCCGGTACACGTTTTTGCCCCCTCTGAGCTCCTTGTCAGACAGTCCACACTAATGCTCCCTGGGAGGGAGCAAAAACATGGACTGTCTGTGGGTCCCCAAGGACCAGATTGGGAAACACTTGTAGACGTTACAGGCTGCCAAATACTGTGCTCATCCGCAACTTCAATGCCTTCTAGAGTTTCAAAAGGGAAAAACACAACAGTAAGCAGGGATTCCAAAGCGGTTATTGGTGGAACATGAAGAGCTGAAGCGTCACCTTGGTCCAGATTATGCCCTGAGGTTTGGGCCATTTGCACTCTGTCTGGATAACTCTGGTCGGGGTCAGGATATAATCCACTGTGAGGTCGTGCTTTTCTATGAGTTCTTCTGGAATATCAACCACCTGTAAAAATGGTAATGTTAAGCTACATACTAAACACACTACCTAAAGTAACCAGGTTAGATTGATTGATTGGAAACAAACCAACATCATACCAACAAGATAAGATAAGCTTTATTGATGCCACGAAGAGAATTCTCAGGGTTACAAAGGCAGTTATAGACAGCATCAGATAATACACACAACGTAAGCACAGAATGAATGGACATAAATATATAAACACACACCTGGGATTGTACTGTTTAAAGTTACGAGTGTCAGACTGTGTAAACATACAACATGGGGATAGGAGGTTCAGCGAGGAGACCTGGCCCACAGCAGTGATAATAATGACACAATAACAACAAGCAGTAATAGTAGTAGTAGTAGTAATAAAATAATGATAATAAACGCATTAGCACATTTATTTCCAGAAATTATTTGTGGCTTTGCCACACATCCTCCCCCATCCTGATGCCGACCACAAACGCATCCTATATTCAGAGTATTGTTTAAGCATTTTAAAACTGAGATTCTGTTTTGAAGTTTGGGTGAAAGGTGACTTCACCCCCCCCCCCAACCCTGGCAGAACAGCAGACATAGCTAGGCTTTTCCAGACCATTCAGCAGTCAGTTAGATCTGGGAGAAAGTCCATTTGGACAATAACCATGGATACAGCTGAAGATAATCACTGAACACAAACAATTTACCATGTCCAGAAGTTAACAGCATTTGATAATTTGGCACAACCAGACCTCTTCGATTTTTACAGTTATTCATTTAGCAGATGCTACAGTCCAAAGCAGCGTATTAGTGAGAATCAGAAAGGAGGACCAGCCAGTGTCCAGGAAGCAAATGGGGTCAAGCCTCTGCTTAAGGGTCAGTGTTTCCTGTGGATCAAGGGGTTCGGCATGGGGGCAATGTCTGTGTGTGTGGAGGGGAGGGGGGTATTACTGAACAAAAAAGGGAGATATCAGACCACCGCTGTTCAAATGTTTTGTTAATTATTATTATTGTTGAACAAAGGCACATTCGCTCTCTTTCTATATAGGTAAACAAACACTTAATAATTATATTAATTAGAGGCTAGTTCCTGCGACTCTGAATTGGATAAGCGGTTACAGAAAATGTATAGAATGATGGATGAATATAGGCTAGTTATTTTTCAGTGACAGTTATAAGTACATTGTTTTTTTTAGCAGTTGCTGAATTATATCCTGAACAGTTTGCTCCAGTGTTTCACTTAGCAACGTAACAGCCTAACTGCACTGCACACAGCCTAACTGCATATGTGACTCAGCCTAACTGCACAGCACACAGCCCAGCTGCTTGTGCCTCAGTCTAACTGCACTGCAAGCAGCCTAGCTGTCTCAGCCTAACTGTGCATCTGACTCAGCCTAACTGCATGTGTCTCTCCTGTTGTGTGAACCTCTTTCACATACAAAACCAATTAACGTTTCAGGAAAACCAACACGGGACAGATACATTTCCGATTCCATAAAGGTAAAGTAACGCCTGTCGTGTACAGCCCACTGATATCAATGTAGCAAATAAAGGGGAAGAAGTGATCAGTTACGGTTTCACATTCACACAGGAGTGTGTCAGACTGTTACCGCTAATGCTACCACAACAGCACGGGACCGGCTTTACCATTAGCTCCCACAACACCATAACAGTGACGCAGTCATATATTAGCGGGTTTCAGTGTGAATGGGGTATACGAGAGGGAGGAGGGAGATGTGTCGCTGCCCCCCCCCCCACCTAACTCAATGCCTGCTCTGTTTACCTACCTCATCTGTCTTTCTTTTCCTAGGAAAATACCTAAGTAAGCTAATTTTATTTGAGCCTTTTAAGAGCATCTGCTGAATGACATTGTAAAATATCCTATTAGTGCTGTTAACCAACTGAATTCCGTAATGCGTGCATGGGGGGTGGGGGCGGAACTTGGGCTTCCCAAGCAAGTCACCAAGGCGTTGGATTAGATGTTTGACTGGTTTGCTAGATGCTTTTTGCCATGTTGTGCTGCCATGGAGAAATGTTACCAGCAGAAACACAGAGGGCCCAACGGTGATTTGATTCACTCAATTGGGATTTGAACCCACAGCCTTCCACATACGGATCCAGATCTACATACCACCGGTTTTTGTTATTGAAGTGTAGTTCACTTCATTCTAGGGTTTAACCTCCAATGCAAATGGAGGTTATTGAATCCCAGGTGGAAGACCAACTGGATGTTCATTCTGGCTGATTCTTTACAGGGCATCTATATTAAATGCCTGAGTCTTTGCTGGGATTCAACTCAGAACTGGAGTGTAGTATTCATGTGCTGCTTTGTAGCAACTAAAGAATTTATTTCATGAACCATTTTGGTGAAAAGTGCTGATACTAATGCCAAAAATGTTTATAAAATTCAGCAGGGAAACCATCTGCTGCGGATGATTTGTTGTTGGGCACAGAAAGAGAGTGCCTTTCTAAATTTGTCTGTGGTAAGCGGATTATGTTGGGTTTTCATTTCTAGAACGTTGGATTTGCTCGCTGGGGGGCAAAGAGTACAGGAGATTCAATTCCTTTGGTTAAAGTTAATTATCTAGTTACAGATCTTTCTTTTTTATGAGTAAAATGGGATTATTTAACCTGTAACCCAAACTTCTGCCATTTCCCAAAGAAACACTGAGGGAATTAAAAAAAAAAAAACAGAAAAAACCCCACAGCCAATCATACTGACCTGACAGTCATGAACAACAGTGACGACCACAGTAGCACTGCTAATGGCTTCCATGGACACCATCATGGCGTATTCCATATCAGCATAGCCTTCTCCTTTTCCAATCCGATAGCCTGATTAATTCAAGGAAATGACCCCAAAATTAAGAAAAAGTAGCATTATGACCCCCCTGTGCCTCATATATTTTACCGAATTAGCACTCCTGAGCATTTCACCTTTCTCAGACACAGCCACCGACCCAACCACGACCAAGTCAACCCTCACTTTCGCTTCCAGGCCGACCGGCACGCTGAAGTCCTTCACCCCCTGAGCGAATTCAGGAATGGGACACATCACTAAGGCAAAGATACAGACGTCACACATCCTGCAATGTTGTGCAAGCTCTTGGGGGGGGGGAGGGGCTGGGGTTTACCTGAGAAGTGGAACACACATGAAGGTCCTCCTTGCTTGCTCCCTGGGGAGGGACAATCCGGTTGAACAGTCCAGCACGCAGACGGGGGGTTGGAACTAGTAATGTTTTTCTTGCCTGGAAATAAAGACAATTTAATGGGGTATGTACAGAATTAATCAGTTTCTTGACCCAGATGAATCACTATGTGTTATATGCCTGAAGAATGAGTTAACAGACGATATTATGAAAGCTTGGATTTTAAGGATTCCACCTCGACAAAACCCAGTGGGGAAATCAGATCAGGATGTAACCAGAGTAATTAAAGCCTTAAGGGAGAGGGCTACAGTGCCATAGATGGAGGTAGTCCCCATCAATAATGGGGATAAGCCGCACGCAACAGTGGCCATATTTCGATAACGCCATGAATTACCTGAAGGACCGCTAGACGAGCGCCTTCTAGCGGTTTATCGGGGTCCACCTTCACCTCGCTCGTTCGGTGGAACGACTCGAGGTCGGCGACGGCGGCGCAGGCGCAGTGAGCCCCCTGCGTTACAGCAAGAGCGCAGAGAGAGCGAACTTACGGCCAGGGTCACATAGCGGGCCTGCTGCTGAGGTCTGTCTGGGTTAACCTTCACCACCTTGCTGCACTTGAACTCGGCCAGGGCTGGGAGCCTGTCACCAGCCGAGCCAGCTCCCTATTTCAGGTGCAACATACAGTCCACGGGAAATGACCCATGCAATAATTACACTCGCATTTGTTTTCATGTTTCCACCCTCGGACCCAAGCGCTGTCTGCTGGTATTTAATTTCCTAAACAATTGCTAAAGACCCGATTAGTAATCTACATTCGTGAGTTATGTCAGCCGGTTTCCATTAAAATGTCTTGCGAAATTAAAACTGTATCTAATATTACCGGCATCGCCAATGCTAGCGCAAAAATATTACTGTATTATCTAATATTCCGGTATAAATTACGTGATGTCTCTCAGTAAATAACGTCTTACTAAAAGAATGAGACTGTAAAAAGTGTCACAATACCAGTTTCGACATTTACTCAAATAATATTGTTTAGTTATAACAGCCTACCTTGAAGTTTGGGATTCGGTTATGAACTGGTCTTGGAAAGTGGGCTAAATTGTTAGCTTCAATATAATCCCAGACTTTTTGTCGGATGTCCCACTTTGTCGCTCCTACAGAATGTATATGGAAAAAACTTATGGGTTATTCATGACATAATCGACGGATTTCAAAACAGTGCACGCAAATATGGGTGAAATGTCAACTTGTAACCTGCAAGAACTTGCAATAACATAAACCATTAAGCTTTTACCGGGATTCAACTTTATAACTGGTTCCATTATTCTCCACGTTAACTGACACCGATTTTGTAACTAAATCACAGTTTCTGTAAACAGAAATGCACGTTACGCTTACGCAAGCGCATACTGTACGCAGTTTTCTGCTGTCACGCTGAAGTTCTAGGAGCGACGTACGGCGGCTCCAGAAGACCAAACAGACCGCATCAAATTCGCAATTTTCGATTTAGAATTTTATCTGCACCACAAACGTCCAGAAGGAGTTATTTAAATAGAGATGTGTCATGTTCAAATATTCATCCCTCCTTCTTCCAAGGACTTATCTAGAACAGGATCATACTTGCAGCATATCCAAGGAAACACAAGGAATAAGGCAGGGGAATGCCCTGTCTGTTCATCACAGGACACAGACGGGAACAGGTTTGTGTTTAATTACATATCTCTGAACTGCGGGAGGAAAAGCACACAACACAGGAAAAACTTGCAAATTCCAAACATAGAGGCAGGATTCAAACCCCCAGTCCTGGACAACAGTACTGCGTGCTATACCACATATGTATTCAGATATTTTATTTAAAATGATCAAATCTATACAAAGCAAATCCTTTTCTCCCTATTGAACACAGAGCATGGCAATTTGGTATGAAATGCACTATTTGTTGTGTTTGTAATGTAATATCCCAATCAGTATGGTTCTGCTAGTTATTTTAAAACAAAACGTAACAAATATGGGTTAGCATTCTTACCCAAGGTGTCCCCCATCCAAGCCTCGTCTCTCCCGGGATGGACTCTGGGCTCACTGCGACTGAGTAAGTGATTATAGAGCAGGGATGTAAAGAAACATATTCTCTTTCATTTGTTTTATTATGAGTAGAATTTATTACTTACAGTTTCACACTGGATTGTATACACTGATATGTGTTGAGTGAATATTAATCGGATGTGTACTGAAATTATGTAAAATGTTTCATATCTATGTTTGTCTGTCTGTGTGGATCATTCTGTGTCTGTATGTGTGTGAATGTCTGTCCTTCTATGTGTCTGTGTGTGTCTGTCTTCGTTTGTGTGTGTCTTTCTGTGTCTGTATGTTTGTGCATGTGTGTGTGTGTGTGTGTGTGTGTGTGGTAAGCATGCTGGATTCCCTGGATTGTATACACTGATATCTGTTAGTGAATATTAATCAGACGTGTACTGAAATTACGTAAAATGTTTCATTCGATATAATCCCAGAGTTTCTGTCGGATGTCCCACTTCTTTTACAGAATGTGTACGAAAAAATGTATGGGTTGTTCATGAATATAACCTAACCTTAAACTTGTACACAAAACCATAGTATTTCTTTGCAGTTGAAATGTGAAGAGAGTGTTAAGGTTGAAAAGAGGGCTTTGAGGGCTGCATATGCCCACACTTCGTATTCTCCTACTTTCTCGCTGGGCTAGCTGAGTTCCTTCCTGCTGTCTTGCCCGGTTTGGGGGGTGGGGGTTAAGCATCAGGTTCTCCTCCTCCACAGGAATTTGTGTAATAGCACTAGATTACTGCTGACATCAGATGCACCAGGAATATCCGTTTTTTNAGACAGTTCGTACTGAAGGCTTGGTCTCAAAATACAACAGTTTAAATGCCATCTGTATCTAGCATCGTATCAGTCACAATAAAGGTACTCACTAAAAATATCCGCTAACTCTCGTTGGACAGTTTATTAGGTACATCCACACAGTACCACCCTTTTAATCTCTGAAACCGCAGATTTGAGCCTTTCTGCATGTCCCTGTAGTGCTTTTTGTAGGGGCGGCCTTCCTGTTAGCTCGACTTAGCTATTAGCTGTTAGATCAGGCATCTTCTGCATTCTAATGCTTAGCTGCACAGCGACTGAACCTCCAGATCCCGTCTGCATGCTGCACACCCTCAGCTGCAGGCATGTGCTTTGCGGTTTGCAGGAGCAGGCCGATTGCATTAGCCAGCAGGTGCACCTAATCAAGTGGCCGCTGAGTGTACGTTTGTCAAAACAGTAACACAACATTCATCTTCCATAACCACTTATATAGTACAGGGTCACACTGAGGGTGCAGGCTATTCCCAGAAGCCCGGGAATGGCACATTTGGACAGGATGCTAGTCCATTTCAGGGTACATACACATATTCACAATTCACAAATCAGCTCACCTAATTGCAAGTTTTTGTACAGTGGGAGAAAACCTATACAAACATAAGCAGAATATAAAAACATAAATATCAGGGGTGGGGTTCGACCAGCCAACCCAAGAACTGTGAGGCATATTTGTTAATATGCAAATGCAGAAAAGCATGGACGCGTTCACACAATTCATTCGTGATTTTTTTTTTTAATCACTGGCGTCGCAATTTCTTCTGCCCAGAAGAGGGAGCCAAACACAAGGCCAATTTTATTGAAGCGGCGCGCGTTCACCCACCCGGGCTGGTGTACAGCTACGGGTGGTCCAGGAGCTCGTAGTAGGATACTGGAAATACAGTATCTATTACAACTTTTAAAAAGAGGAACATGTTTTTAAATTATTTTAATTTAGAAATTATTACAACAGGAGAGCACGCACTAGGAATTTGGAGCCTGCATCATCCTCAGCCTTATCTCAGGGTACCGCACCCCTCTGACCCAGAACATCCACAAGCTTTTAACAAAATTGCATAATCATAAAACCAAAGATGAGGGCAGCCTGCACAAGTCGAAAGCACTGCATGATGAGATGCCAGAGAAAGAGCGGTATTCCCAGTCACTACTGACAGCGACCGACACACTACCAAATACAACCAAGGAGCGAACATCTCAGATGGAAGCAGCTTAACCAGAAAGCCACGGCCATATTCTCCTACTGCCTAAAACGCCTCTCTGTTAAAGTCTGTCTGCCACTCAGCATCTGTCTTCCTTGGCTTGAGGTGATTCTTAGTTGTCCACTCTGGCACTAATGAAATTAAGCCCAGCGATGTGAGATATCAGTCCAAGCTATATGTTTCATATCAGTGTAAGAATAGGCTCAAAGAGCATGTCAGAACGTAACTTCATCTGGTCACTAATGGGGCACAGAGGAGCAAACAGCAAATCATATGTTTCTACAAAAGGCAGCAGTATACAATCACAGCAGGTGATGAAGTTATTATTATTATTATTATTCCTGAAGTTTCAGCACTGGAACAGGATGCCACACTCCGCCAGTGAGATCTGTACGGGTTTGAAGCAGAGTCAGTGAAGAGCGAGGGGAAAAGACATTGAGGGGCCCTTCACTGGTAATTTCCCAGAGCAAAATCAGTCTTCCGGGGTTTTCTGTGGAGGGAATTCATGCATAGACGCCTCATATCCTGTTCCAAAGGCAGCTTAATTGGGTAACAATTTGGGGAAGGAAGAACATACTTTTAAGTTGATGCACTACACGGTCACTCTGCAACAGCTGAGTCATTGGGATTAACGTCAGGATTTTTCCAGCACTCTTAAATGGTGACATTTTTTCATCCTGTTGTGACGTCCATGTTAGTAATTTCAGATGAGAGAATTACAGATTTCAGTTTTTGTTTCTCACAGATAATATTATCCCTCTATGCCTGAGCAGACAGCTTAACGTAAAATCAGGTTTTAATTCCATGGACATTTTAAACCTCTCAAAAATGCAAAATATTCCACCTGGGTTGCATTGGCAGCGTTAATTAACTTCAGAGAGGCCTCAGAGAATGTTTTGGGGAGGCCTAGAGGGCCGGGTAGGCTCTAGCTGTTGCCACGGCCACAGAAACTCTTAGCCCCCCCTCCAGGGGGGGCTTGCCGGAGTGGATTCCCAGGTGCATCACTGAGTGGAATCCTTCAGCCCCCAGGCAGCCCACATTTCGTGTTAAGCCTTGGGTAACTTAGCGCTCTTTCTGGATGAGATTTCAAAAGGAATTAGTCAGTTTCCCAGTATTTCCGTCCTCCTAACACAACTAGCAGTCTCTCATTTTTTCCTTCTTTCTTTTAATGGCCATTAGCAATTAAGATAGAAAGGACAGATGAAATGTGGAAGGTCTGACTTCATGTACTGAACGGGATGCATTACGGCTTGACAAAATCTCATGTGAAAGGTATGGATTTATTTGGAAATGTATTCCTATCGCCAATCAAAGTCGTACAGTGACTATAAACTGCATTTGTTTTACCTACCTCCCCTGGGAGCCCCGGATTTCCACGCACACCAACACGACGTGGTCCAGCCGACGTGGTGCCAGCAGGGTTATTAATATGCCCCCGAATCGGAGCAGCCATGACTATCTATTTCAGCGTTTCCCTCTGCATAATCCATATGCATTCATTTAAATTGCACCCATATGCAGTTTAAGTAATCTCACAGTACCAGCTCCACTGAAAAGCATGTCCTAAAGCAACATGAATGTGAACCTTATGGAGCGCAATTTAGTGAAACGTTTTGAAAAGGGTCTGGAAAACAGGGCCGAGCCTGTGCATTGACTAAACACTGGCAACATTGTAGCATGTAAACTTAAACTCAGCCTTTTATGGATTTACTTAGAAGCTATTCAGGTCCATCCGGTGTCCCGTGATGCAACGCTAAGCAGCCCCCGGAGAACATCCTGAGCACGTTTCATCTCTAAACGGACAGCCGGGGCACGCAGCTGTCACACTCCCCACTGTGTTTGCTTGTTCACTCCCAGTGGCACTGACCTCCTAATCCCCAAATCTCATGTTTAATTACATACAATCATGAAAACAGATCTACAATGGACTGGGTACACAAAAAACTTAATGTAAGTGAATGTTTTGCAATGTAATATTAAATCAAACCATGTAGTGTAAATGATACACAAATCGTATATTGCTTTATATGATTAGCAGTAGTATTCTATTATTATTATTATCAATAATAATTATATTATTATAGTGATCAATTTATTATTGACTCCAGGCGACAATATAGGCAGGATTCCTCCAGAACATTCTGTCTGCATCTGCAGGCGTTGCAGTGATATGGCCACTGCTGTGCTACCAAGACCATTCACCGTGCTGCTGCTTGTCCTGTTAGTTTCAACATTTCCAAGAACCTTGATCTTCTGTAATGCATTGGCTCTTTTTATAATGTGCCAAAATATAACATGTCTGGTCACTGAGTCAGATTTCAGGCTTGATTTGACAAAGAATCTGTTTCCCTTGTGACTTTGCCACTG